ACCTGTATTTTTGATTTACTGTGAAGAAATGGACTTTGTCTAATTGACTAATTGTCTTATCGCCATGACAACAAACGAAGCGCAGGTTGGCAGGAGGCTTCGTTGCTGATGCAAATGAGCTCTCGTCACTGGAGAACAGAAGCAGAGTCGCCCACGATTAAACACACCGGCACAAAAACACCACTCTGCTCGGAGACCTCCAATTAAGCGTGTAGCTAGCTTCACTCACCACAGGGCTCTGCTGTGTGTGTGTGTGTGTGTGTGTGTGTGTGTGTGTGTGTGGACGGGTGGGTGTGACTCAAACCATTGTCACCAGCGATCGCCTATGAGTCATCCCCCTAATTAAGAGACCAGAATCGCGACACCTCTCTGTGTCTCCGGAACAATTATCCAATTAGGTGAGCCGCTGACGTTTCTCTCTGTGAACTGGACAAAAATAATCCATTTGTCTGTCCCATCACCCCAACGTGTGTTCATTTTGTTCATTCATTCATTTAGGGAGATTAATCTGTTGGTCAACTTGATAACTTCCCTGGTGGATCGAGTACTCCAGCATTGTGTGCTAACACTTAAACATTCACTATTGCACAGTTACAGTAGATTGAAATTGTGCTTCCTTTGTCTGGTTTTATTGCATGGTGTCTCAATTGTTTTCTTTCGTGAAAACCACGACAATAAGGGTAAAGTGCAGATCAACTTTCCACGGTCACTTTTAGAGTCAGATATTATGTTCTTAGGAATAAAAGCCTGAACTTTTTTTCAAAATTTGTACTTTACACGAGCTAAACGACATTGGCCACCGTCATCAGCTCTCACTGACTGCTGCTATGCCATTTGACATTTATCTGTCACTTGCGCGTAGAGGGGCGCTGTCCGTAGTGCTGAAACAGAGACGAGGAAGTCGATAGTTGTTAAAAGAGAGGGAGAAAGAACAGCACCTTTTAGCATCGCAAACAGCTCTTAGCGATCGGTTAGTCACTCCCCCCCAACGGTTAACATTGTTAGCTCTGTCAGCGCTGTTGCTGTCGTTTGCACTGTTCGCGCTGTCAGCGCCGTTAGCTGCTAGCAGCCGGCTCAGACGTCTCCACGATGAGCGCCGTGTGGAGGCAATCCCTCAATCATAGAGATCCTCTGAACTTGGAATGTAGCACCTTTTTATGTAGGATATCAGATGAAAAAAAAAATCACTTCATATGTCAATATAAACTGCAGCTTGTGTGAAGCATGAAAGAAAAACGACAGGGCAGATTTGTAATTTCACTGACCGTTCGCTGTTCGGCTGAATCAATTGTACTGCTACATAAATAGTTATTCAACATTTGCAAAATGTTTATGACGTTACTGTCAACTGCCAGCTAGGGCCCCATACATTACACAAAGGAAGTCAAACAATTCAGAAAAAACAACAAAAACACTATCTGTCCCTAAATCCTGTAAAGCAACATCCATTTGGTGGAAATCCTCTTTTCACAACATTTCAAAAACTTGCTTTTTTTTTTTGCACGACTGCAGTGTGTTGTTACGTTATGCTATGTTATGCTATGTTATGCTATATGTTATGTTATGTTACAGTATAATGTGACGACGTAGCACGGTGGGTGTCAATGCTCCAGGTTAGCTGTTAGCTTTGTTCTCTACAGCACCACTGGAGCCGTTCTGGCCTCTAATCACAGTGATTACTTAACCACAGAGGCTCTTAAGTGCTGTTTATCAGAACTCCTCTGGAGAGCAATTACACCATCACTGCTCTGTGTTTCACATTCACCCTCCTCTGAAGCTCCATTTTTTTAATCTCCCTGTCCTCTCCGCTCCATCCATCATGTCTCCTATCGCCCTCCTCTCCTCTCAACCTCTTCCTCTCCTTTCTTTTATTTCCTTTACTTTATGTTCACCTCGCTTTCTTCCCTGTCCTTTGAAAAATTCACTCTCTTATCTTTTCTTTCTTTCCAGTTGGTCCCGTCTCATCTCCTGTCCTTGAATTTTTCTTTTCCTAATCCAATTTTTTCCAATCCATCTATTCGATTTTGAGATATTTCACAGGATAAGTGAAAACTTTGATCTGCTGGAAAGAAAGCAATGTCATGAGATCACCAAAGTCCTGAGGATTCATCCTGTAAGTGGCAATCCATCCAAAGGATGTTGAGGTATTTGAGTCTGGACAGACCGTCATTGCCGTCCCCAGAGCTAGGTGGCTAAAAACTAATTGAAAGAAAGACTTAAAAGTCTGTTTTAGTCCATCCATACTCACATTTGTGCACTTCTCAACCAAATGTGCTGTCCGCGAATAAACTCACACCCAACTTCACCACGGGGAGAAATCATTCTTTTAAAGGTTGCACCGCCGTATGACTTCTGAGGGAGACGGTGAACAAGGGGGAAGAGGAGAGAGAGACATCTGGGTGGGGGGTGGGGGGGTTGAGATTGGTTGGGGATTGGTAAAAGGAACCAATAAGTAAAACTGAGGCTCTTAGCAAACCACAGTCATCCTTCTGCCTTCAAGGTCGGGGCGCACAGATTATCTTTCCGACGAGGTTGGAAATAGTTCAGTGCGAGAGGATGGAGGAGGAGGAGAGGATGGGTTACTTGTAATGTTGTTATAAATAAAATACAGGAACAGATAAACAGATGAAGACAGTTATTGCTGTTTTTCTATATATATCTTGTCTTTCTGCAGCCAGCGAGGCAAATTCAAAACTGAGAATTGTAATCCCATGAAACACACAGCAACAGGAACGAGAGGGAGGAGGGAGGAGGACACAAAGAGAGTGGGAAACAAAAGAGAGAAAAAAAGAGGAGAAACTGACTCTATGCCCTACACAATAAAAAGACAGGGAGGGAGGGAGGAGAAAAGGAGGAGAAAAGTGCAGACTTAGAGAAGTAGAGAATAGTGATTTTTAATATTACAACTGTTGGCGTTGAGAGGATGAATTCTGTAGGAGGAACAGAGGATTCATTGTGCCGGCCGTTTACTTAAAAACATCATTAAGGTCTGCGGAAGCATTTCCCTGCAGCTCAATGAAGCGCGATGCTTTTCAGGAGATCACAGTCTCTCTCTGCCGGCCTCGTCTGCTCGACTGTTTGACGGCAAAATCACATATGTACTCATTTGTGTAATATATGCATCAAAAGAAGAATTCCTCAACAATAAGAAGAAGCAAGTGGCTGCCGTTCATGCTCGTACAGCATGGAAATCAACTTCCGTGGTGCGAGGTAATCCATCTCAGTGAGCATGAAGCCTCAATTTGATTTGGTCAAATTCCATTTGTCTTCACCCTGGAGATGCTTGGCTTCATATATCCATGCAGCATTTAGTAAGTGAATGCAGCACAACTGCAATAGTAAGACCAAAAAAAAAAACTGGATCATCACCACATTCTGTTTGTCAAATGCTTCCATCGCGATATAGGTAATTTCATATCTCGATGTTTTCTGGTAAATCAATAAGTAAATAATCTATATGAAATAACCACGTGGTTTTATATACTCCTGTGTGAATTAAATACTTGACTTACGAACTACAAACTCAAGTGCAAAATAATCCTTTTGTTTGGAGTAATTTGAGTCAGTATGAGCGTGTACATTTTCATGATGTAATTGTGCATCACAACATCTCGATGAGTGATTTCATCACGATGTGATTCAATTGAAAGATGATTAATTATCGTATTGAATTATCTAACAAGCCCAAGATGGGCTCGAACTGACACAAGCTGTCTCCTTCAAATTTGACGGTGATTTAATGTGGAACCCTTCCAGCTTGATTCAACACGTAACAAACTACGTTCTAAAGCGTTCTGCACAGCACCAACGCTGGCTCTGCTCTCATCTAAAAGAACCTTTTTCCTGAGCGAGATAAAGTAGGACGGGTCCAGTGACACAGGCGGCTGATTTAGTTGTACAGTCTCATGATTTATTAATTGTCTGCAGTCAAAACCCCTGGAGCTGTGGCAGACACACAAGTGCCCAACTGTACTGTACCATCAGCGCTTCCAGCTCATCCCCTCATCCACTTGCTAATGCAATTTGACTTGCTTTTGCAACAAGTTAATGGGAGCAAAAAAAAAAAACAGCCTGCTGTGTGAAGAGTGTAAGCGAGTTCAGATGCAAGGGAAAGAGCAGAGATGTTCTCGCACAGCATGTGCTCTGTCTTTTTCTTTGATAAAACCCCTCTGACCACAGTTTATTATGTACAGTGAGAGAAGTTTTGTTCACTTAGTGTGGTGTATTTTATCCACACCGTAAACACTGAAGCAACGTGTGACTGAATGTAATGGGATGTGAATACTCTGACACACTGACCTAATAATCCGACCGCCAGGAATAATACTAACAACTGAAAAACTAAATAGATAGATAGACAGATAGATGGATGGATGGATGGATGGATATATAGATAGACAGATAGACGGATAGACAGACAGATAGATGGATAGATAGACAGACAGGCAGACAGATAGATGGATAGATAGACAGACAGGCAGACAGATAGATGGATAGATAGACAGACAGGCAGATGGATAGATGGATGGATATAGATATAGAGAGAGAGAGAGAGAGAGAGAGCGAGAGAGAGAGAGAAGAGGCATTGTGCCTGACTTGAAGACTATTCCGCCCTCCCTCTCTCTCTCTCTCTCTCTCTCTCTCTCGGTGTCTCTCAGTCTGCTGGCTGTAGCCGCTCTAGATAGAATAGAATATTACTATGACAAATCGTGCAAGATTTAAAAATGAAAGCCCACATTATATGACATATTTAGTACTATATTAATATTAATATAATTCAGTGTTGTTGTTTGTTAAAATAACTTTTAAATCCAGCTCTTAAGTGCGTGTCCTAGGTGAGTAATGATGAGTCTAAAAATACACGTTTACGCGCACATTCCCACAACGTATACAGAGTTCTATCTCTCTGTAGCAGGTGCCGGTTTTCACTTGCACTTCTTCCTCTCTGCATTTGAAGAAAAACAGTGAAGAGAAGAGACTGAAAGGCAACAACGACGTACTCACGTTCAGCTTCCACATTCAGCGATGTCACCTCTCAACCACAGCGCGTATCCATCCAGAGAGAGAGAGAAAGGTCATTTCACTTCATTCAACCTCCGCGAGAAGAAAAAAACCCGCTCAGTTGTAGTGGTGATGGTCAGTTTAATTAAACAGCCTCCACAGCGCAGCACAGTGTGGACAGAGCGGCTACAGCCAGCAGACTGAGAGACACCGAGAGAGAGAGAGAGAGAGAGAGAGAGAGAGGGCGGAACAGTCAGGCACAATGCCTCTTCTCTCTCTCTCTCTCTCTCTCTCTCTCTCTCTCTCTCTCTCTGTACTTCTCTCTCTCTCTCTGTCTCCCTCTCTTTGTCTTTCCCCCTCTCTTTCTGTCTCACCCACACACATGAGCACAGAAAAGTAAAAGTAAAGTACAAATCTTGTTTTTCTCATGTCTGTTCGCTCTCATAGGAGGTTTAAGCATTACCAAGAAAGATGCAATAAAATAAATGTACGTGATTGTTGGTCAATTCTTAGCTCTGAAAGTCAGTGATATTACGAAAAGGCTATCCAAAACCCTTTTTTTTAAAGATATTGATTAAGTATTTTGCACAAATCTGGACCAAATTGACCTTCTCATTATGATTTAAAGGGCCAGTGTGTCGTATTCATGGGGCCTTATTAGCAGAAATGGAACATAATATTCACTATGTTTTCATCAGTGAATAATCACCTGAAACTAAGAATCTTTTTTGTTAGCTTAGAATGAGCCCTTCAGATCTACACACAGAGACAGCCATGTTGCACCGCCGTGTTTCTACAGTAGCCCAGAACGGACAAACCAAACACTGGCTCTAGACAGAGCATTTCCCGTTTTTATGTTACCATTTTAGCCCACCGTAGTTCTCCAACATGCTTGTGAAACTAGGGTAACGTGAGACGCAGTGTGCAACTGATTTCTGATTTCTGTTGCTTCTAAAGTAGAGATATGATGGCGAGTGATGGCCTCTAAACAAGAGTGAGGGCTATTCAATTAGTTGCAGCCTGCAACCACACCACTAGATGTCACCAAACCACACTGTCACTTTAATTCATTAAATACATTGCACCAGTCTGGACCATAGACTGTACAGTATATAAGAACTAGACGTGATCATTGTGATGTCACCCATTGGTTTGTGATCTGCCATTTTGAAGCCTCGAGTTCGGCGCCATCTTTGAGTACGTCTGTCGCCATGTCGTTTCTTTCACAACCAATGAACAGAAGTGACCATATTTGGAATGCGGAAGAGTAACGTAGAGACGCCGTATACGTGTCTGGTAGAGGCAGCAACCTGTCAATCACTTTAAGTCCGCCCTAAAGCATGCTCTGCTTCTTGGTCTATTTTCTCTAAATGGGATCATAATTTACTAAATGAACATCATGCTGTATTGAAGAAGACTTGAAACTGGAGATTGAGACCATAAACTCATGTTTACAATGTTTACTGAGGGAATAAATCAAGAGAGAAGTAGAGTCATTCAGACTTCTTTTGCAAATGGGGGAGTCGCCCGCTGCTGGTCAGTAGAGAGAATGCAACACTTCCGACGATGTGAGATGTGAGAAACAAAGAGACAAGTGATCTAACATGGTTGCTATAATGTATTACCTATAATAGTTTTTACAAAACTAGTCTTACAAAAAATGGTCTGTAGTCAGTGGGCAAAAAGACGTCAGTAGTCCACGGTCAGGATTACAGATGTATGAAATGGGTCACTTAGCTGCAGATCTGCTTCTTTACACCTGATAGGAGACGGTAGAATATCAGCACTGATGTGCACTAAGTTGAATCTTGACAGTCCATGAATCTCCCTGGTGACAGACTCCTCGCCATCTGGAATCGAGAGGTGGGAGACGATGTTGTGGAGAATCAGAAACTGGTTTTCGCTCGTTTCTGCATTTCTCCGAATGGGCTCTCCATGTGTGTTTTGCGTCGGATGATCACACCGCGTGATCATCCGATCATCCGGCTACTGTAGAAACACGGCGGTGCAACATGGCTTTCTCTGTGTGTAGATCTGAAGGGCTCATTCTAAGATTCTTAGTTTCAGGTGATTATTCACTGATGATCACACCTGGAGGAGGCTGGCTGTGTGCTGCTTCACCCTTCCTGCTGTGTTGTCTGTTAAATGACTTAAGGGTGTTAGATTATGTGTTTGGTTTCAGGCTGCAGGAACAAGGTTAGGGGGGTTTCATGTCCTGTTTGTAAAGCTGTAAATGTGAGCTGTGTGCTGCCATCAGTACTGTGTGTTTCCTTCACAAGAACGGACATGATGTTTTCCTTTCCTTATTCCTAAATGAACGAGCTGCACAATGTACTAAATGGTCGACATCTAACTGTTAACTGTACCTCAGCGTGAGTTGCCATGTTTGCAAATATTGTTCACTGACTGAGCCGCTGATTTCATTTTCATTTGGCATCTTGTCCTGGTGAAATCAGCTCCTACGGTAGAGGTGGGCTGAAAGAAAGATATTAAAATGCTGGAAGTTGTTGCATAAATGTCCTCAACTCCTCAAGGGAAATGTGTGGCCCCTAAGCAGTTAGGGTGCTCCACTACGTTGAACCGCTAGCCACTATAACTCTTAACGTCTGTCAGTGGTTTATTTGCGGGTAATTAGTAGTGGGTTTATCAGAGTTTTTTTGTTGTTGCTGGAAACAGCTTGTTGTCGCCTCTGAAAACAGCACTGATGAGAGCACTGACACCAAAGACGGTCTATAATAAGTGGACGTAGTCATCGTGACGTCACCCATTGGTGAATCCTCTGTCACCATCTTTAATTACAGCCGTCGCCATGTTGTTGTTTTTTGCAACCATGAACGGAAGTTACCATATTTGGAATGCGGAGGAATGATGTAGAGACAACATCATGCTGTATTGAAGAAGACTTGAAACTAGAGATTGAGACCATAAAGTCATGTTTACAATGTTTACTGAGGGAATAAATCAAGTTAGAAGTAGGGTAATTTTCCCATAGACTTCCATACAATCTGACTTATTTTTGCTACTGGAGGAGTTGCCCCCTGATGGCCATTAGAAAGAGTGCAAGTTTATGACACTTCAGCATTGGCGTCACTCGGCAGAACGGGAGGTTGCCTCCTGGCTGAGACCTTAAAACAGTAATGTTGCAGGCTGTAAAACCAAAACAATGTGCTGAAAGATGCTAAACCAGACCTGAGGAGAACTGCATCGTGGGATAATAATTCTGGGTGGTTACATCATACGCAAGATCCATTATCACACCGAAAATGGGGAAAGGGGTCATTGCCCCCCCCCCCCCTGACTTTACCCCCTGGTCCCATTTGGCATTGTAGCTGGTGTGATCCCATCACGGGATGAAGCTGAAAAATGAAAAATGGATAAGTGCAGCTTCAAGGTTAGAATATGCTGAGGTTACGGTTGAGTAAGCGTTTGGGTTAGACGAGATGAGCCTCCAGGAATCAGTGGAGGTCAAAACAGCGTTCTCACAAGTGAGTTTGAGTTGTTGTGATATCTCTTTCAAAGGAATGTGTTTGTGTGTGTGTGTGTGTGTGTGTGTGTGTGTGTGTGT